CTCAGAGCGGCTTACAAACTCCTTTCCCTTCCCCTCCCCACAACAGACACCCTGTGAGGTAGAAGAAGAAGAAGAAGAGATTGGATTTATACCCTGCCCTTCACTACCCGAAGGAGTCTCAGAGCGGCTTACAAACTCCTTTCCCTTCCCCTCCCCACAACAGACACCCTGTGAGGTAAAAGAAGAAGAGATTGGATTTATACCCCACCCTTCACTACCCAAAGGAGTCTCAGAGCGGCTTACAATCTTCTTCCCCTCCCCACAACAAACACCCTGTGAGGCAGGTGGGGCTGAGAGAGCTCTCTTGAGAACTGCTCCTGAGAGGACAGCTCTGAGAGAACTTGTGACTGACCCAAGGTCACACCAGCAGCTGCGTGTGGAGGAGTGGGGAATCAAACCCGGTTCTCCCAGATTAGAGTCCGCGCTCTTAACCAGGACACCCAACTGGCTCTTTAAGAGACTTTCACTGGCTCTTGTCATACTACAGTCCTTCACTGAGGTTATTTGATTTTCTTCCCATTCAGACTGCTTCTTTCCCATTACTTTTGTTTATCTTCCTTCATTAGACCTTGTTTATTTGCATGCGGGGAGAGCAGGGGACCTCTGACCGGTTCTCACCATCCATTAGGTGCAACAACCACATCCGTTCCAGTCCCTGAGCTAGAGAATCACACCTCAGAGATTTACAACAGGATTCACACTCTCCCTCCTCCCCTGCTGTGGTGCCTTCTTAGGAGATCCGGGGAGGCCAGACCTCCAGCCCCCCTACACAGAAGTAGGCCTCCCGGATCTCAGCCTTTCCAGGCGACAGTCACTTAAACGCTGCGAGCCTCCGGATATTTCCCTGGGAGCGAGCCCCGCTGGATGAATTAGGGCTTACTGCAGAGAGCAGTATTCCCTCTCAGCTGAGTTAGTGTGAGCCAGCTCACAGTTTTTAAGCCTCCGGCACACACATTTTTGTCTTAGCTCAGGAAGGGATGGCTCCAGAGCAAACTCATTCTGGCAGCAGCCAAATGGCTCGCTCACAACTTTGATGCCGGTCGCTCACAAAGTAGGATTTTTTGCTCACAAGACTCCACCGCTTAGAGGGAGCATTGCTCCCCAGTAGACCCGCTCCCAAGGCGAAGAGAGGGAGGGGGTCAGCAGCAATGCTCCCTCTAAGCTGTGAGCAAAAATTCTACTCTGTGAGCTCCTGGCATTAAAGTTGTGAGCGAGGGATTTGGCTGCTGCATAAATGAGCTTGCTCTGGAGCCTCCCTTCTTCCTGAGCTCAAACAAAAATGTGCGAGCCGGAGGCTAAAGAACCATGAGCTGGCTCACACTAACTCAGCTTAGAGGGAACACTGGTCAGCAGTTAGCAGTCCGCCGCTCCGCCCTTTCCGAATCCAGCCTCCATCCATGTAAATGGTCTTCTTTGTTCTTCCAGGTGGCTGTTGGCGGTGAACGCTTTAAAGAAATTTAATGTTAATTCCTCCCCTCCCCGCACACACCTTTTTGAAACAAACGCATTAAATCCCCTTGGAGAAAGCTTATGCTGAAAAGCGAACTAGACCAGGAACAACCATTGAAGCAAACCTAACAGGACAGGCCTAGGTGAGGTCTGAGCTAGGCTTACTTGGAAACAACTCCCAAGGTCGCTGCAGTCCCTGAAAGGGACTTCAGCCATTGGGCCCCAAGCCAGCAGGGAGATCTCCAGCACAAACGCCATTGAAAAGGATGCTGGGCTTGCGAAGAGCCCTTCTGGGGGAAGTATATTGGGGAGCAGTGTTCCCTCTAAGCTGAGCTACTGTGAGCCAGCTCGCCGTTCTTTAGCCTCTGGCTCACACATTTTTGTTTGAGCTCAGGAAGAAGGATGGCTTCAGAGCAAAACTGATTCATGCAGCAGCCAGATGGCTCGCTCACAACTTTAACGCCGGGAGCTCACAAAGGAGAATTTTTTGCTCACAAGACTCCACAGCTTAGAGGGAGCATTGTTAATAGGGACTGCAGCCAGAACCCCGGCTCAGCCAGGAGGGCCACGATTCGGCCAAGTGCAGCTCATGTCAGCCTGTATCCCCAAAGGTACCCTGGAGAGTGCTTTAGTGTTGCATTTAGACGCAGCTCGATCCAGTGCAGGGCTCCCCGGATGTAAGTCCTATTGAGTTCTAGGAGACTTTCTGGCAAGAATTCGCATGTGGTGTTACTTCTGTGTAAATGTGCCTTGGGTCGGCTGCGGTTGTTCACTGCAGACATTATTACTATTATTATTAGAAGAAGAGAAGAGACTGGATTTATACCTCGCCCTTCACTACCCAAAGGAGTCTCAGAGCGGCTTACAATCTCTTTTCCCTCCCCCTCCCCACAACAGACACCCTGTCAGGTAGGTGGGGCCGAGAGAGCTCTGAGAGAACTGTCCCTGAGAGAGAAGCTCCGAAAGAACTTGTGACTGACCCAAGGTCACACCAGCAGCTGCATGTGGAGGCATGGGGATAATAATAATAATAATAATAATAATAATAATAATAATAATAATACTTTCAGAGTTCCAAGCACATCCAACATCTTGTTGGAAGATTATACTGCAGATACAAGAAGACTGAGGCAAGGAGAACCAGCGCAGTGAAGGGGTTAAAGTGTCAGGCTAGGCCCAGATTCCTTTCCCCACTTAGGTGACCTTGGGCCAGTCGTACACTCTCAGCCTGATCTACCTCACAGGATTGTTTTGAGGATAAAACGGAAACGACCGTAAGCCTCTTTGGGTCTCTGTTTGCGTGGGATGTAAATAAAGAGAGACCACTCTGGAAAATTCCTGGCAGAGGCAGGATTTGAACCGGCTACCTCCCTCATAGCACTCGATTAGCCACTAGACAATACAGCCTCCCTACCCCTGACTCTCCCCCTCCCCGCCCTCAACGGGCCTTCAAAGTGCTTCGCTGGATCGTGGCCAGTGCGCCGTTCAGTTCCCCCGTTTTCACATTTGGCCTTGTTGTTGTTGTTGTTTGTTGAATGCTCTCTAAACACATTTTTGAAATGTTTTTAAAGGGGAGAGAGATATTCCCAAGCCAACCACCAGCGTCTCCACAAAAAACGCCCTTTGAATTTGAATCCTAATGCTTAAATTATCGAATATCCCATTTTCTCGACAGTACTGACTCGCTGCAGCCCGCCTGGAGTCCCCGCGACGAAGGCGGACTAGAATTACCCTAGATCGAAGTTGGAGTCCAGTGTCACCTTTAAGATCAACAACATTTTATTCAAGGTATAAGCTTCCCTGTGCACGCACAGCTGATACCAGGAACAAAACTTTGTTGGTCTTCAAGGTGCCACTGGATTCGAACTCTGCTCTGCTGCTTCAGACCAACACGGTGTCCCACCTGAAGCTATAAAACACGTACATAAATAAAAACCTAAAAATGGCCTTTTTTAAAAAAAAACCTTTTCTCCCCCTCCCCTTTCCACAACCAGTCCCCTTCGAGAGCCATCATTGACGTGTCTACCCGGTTACTCCCGAGTAAACAGATTGAAACCTCCGATCGCAGCAGCCGCAGGACAGGAAGAGCCGGAGGGGAAAAAAGAATCTCAAACTGCTCCCGTCTGTCTGTTTACCAATAAAATAGCCATTTCCCTCTCGATTCATTTTATCAGGATTTAATTTAGACTTCTGGGTACAAGAAACCTGGGAAAGAGAGAAGAGACACACATGCTGGGAACGGAAAAAAGCAAATTGCCAGCTCGGTTGGTTGGTTGGTTGGTTGGTTTTGACACCCCCCCACCCCCACCCCGTCTAGATTTGCAAGCCAAACTATTGGAAGAGAGAGAAGCACCAGGAGGGAAATGAAAAATAAAATCTATAAAAAGATCAAGGCGTTCTGGAGAGGTGTGGGGGGGTATCAGTCGTTCTTCTGTCGTCCTCGACGTTGTTGTTGATTTTGTAATAAACAAAACAAAAAGTCACGTGGGCGTGTTGCCTAATCTCACCACAAACATAAAAAGCCACCGAAGGGGGTGGGGGACTTGGACAGTTTCGAAATTTACTCTAAAGGAGAACAAGGTCTCTCACACCTCTGCCTCTTTAAGACGTAGAAGGATGCCAGGGGGTCTAATACTGCCTCTCATCCTTTTCCATTTTTTAAAAGCTACTTCCCAAAAAAATAATAATTAAAATTCTGAACACTAAATCTAACACCCCCCCTCCAAAAACCTGTAAACTTAATTTGCCCTCACCCAGTCTCCCTTTCAAAATAAAATATTTGGTACACTCCCGCCCCCTGGGCCTCCATTTCCCAAAACTTTAAACCAGGATACCGCCTCCCCCAATACACACCATCTAATTATAATACACACTTACTTAGGAGCAAACCCTTTTGGAAATCCGGCGAGCTTTACTTCCGAGTAAATGCGTCTCGGTTGGTGGTGTCGAATCATCTACGCCTCCTTCCGGGAAAAGAGGAGGGACAAGATCCACGCGAAAGTTAAGCACTCGGAAAGTCCTTGGGTTCACAGGATCCTAAACAGCTCCATCCCAGGCTTGGAAGGAAAGTAATCCTACTGTGCCCAAGGCGGCTTACTCCCGGGTAAGCGTGCACAGGATCGTAGACTTTAGGCTTAACTTTCTAACTGGGGGAGTGAACGGCAAGTGCTTAACTTCGCCTGGATGGTGTTCTTCCCCCTTCCCCCCCCCCAAAAAAAAATGCAAAATGAAGCAGATCTACAATCCTCACCAAAGCTTAAATTATTTGTAAAGAAATGGAGGGTGGGCGTAGTGTTCCCTCTAAGCCGAATTAGTATGAGCCAGCTCACAGCTTCTTAGCCTCTGGCTCACACATTTTGTCTTAGCTCAGGAAGGACGGCTCCAGAACAGTGTTCCCTCTAAGCTGAGTTACTGTGAGCTAGCTCACAGCTTTTTTTAGCCTCCGGCTCACACGTTTTTGTCTCCGCTCAAGAAGAATGGCTCCAGAGCAAACTAATTTATGCAGCAGCCAAATCGCTCGCTCACAACTTTCGTGCCACCAGCTCACAAAGTAGAATTTTTGCCCACAGGACTCCACAGCTTAGAGGGAGCACTGGTGGGTGGGAGAGAGAGGTGTGTATTTACCTGTAGGCTGCCTTATCTTTGTTTTTGCTAAGACCTCATGGATTTGGGAGGGGGAGGCGCGATGGAAAAAAAGAAGAGTGGAAAAGTGGGAGGTGGGGCCGATTCACCCAAAAAAGAAAAAAGAAAAAAAGAACCTGTAGAGTCACTGTTAAGAACCACCAGGTGGAAACCATGTCCCCTTATGTACAAGTGCCGTGTGTGGTGGTGGTGGTGGTGGGGAAGCCCGCCTGAGTCGCTGGGATTATGAGCCCAGGTCCACCAAACTGGACGTCAGAGGTCCCAAGAGCGAATCCTGCAGCTGGTGCTGGTGGGCCTGCAGGCCGTGGGGTGCCTGCGAGGCGCTTAAGCCGGTCAAGGAATAGCCGGAGTTCCTGGCGTGGCTGAGGTTCCCCTGGAGCAGGAGAATGGAGTTCTGGTCGGGGCTCTGCGGCGGGGAAAACTCTTCCTCCGAGCTGGACATCAGGGGCTTGGCTCCATCCAGGGGGGACAGCTGGTTGGGCTTGTTCGTGGAGGCATTGTTGTTCTCCGTGTTCTCTCTGGAGGGGGAGAAAGAGACCCCGGAAAGGTGGGGGTGTCAGTCATAGGTCCCTAAAGCGAAAAGGGGTAGGTGGGGTTGGGGTGGGAAAGGGGGCAAAGAGCCTAAGGGACTGCTGGCGCTCCCTCCTCCCCAACCTATTTATTCCAAACATTTATTAGCTGCTTTTCCGCCTCCTGGAGCTCGAGGCGAATTACAGTACTGATAAAACCACCCGATGGAGCAGATGAAAATGCCTAAAACCGAAATTTAAAAAAGAAGTTGGGATTGCTTGAACAAAATGCAGTCCTAAATAAAACACGCTTCACGGGTGAAAGCGAGGGGGGCCGAGGGCACCTCCCTGAGAGAGGGAAAGGACCCAGGGGCCGCCACTGAAAAGGCCCTGTATGCAAACCAGCTTATTGGATTGATGGGACCAGCGGAGCCGGCTTGCAAGAGACCCCCAGGGGGTGCTAGCTTGGACAGGGTCGTACACCCCCCCCCCCCCCAGGCCGGGGTGGTAGCTGATCAGTATGAAGGAAATTAGCTGTTGTAGATTTTCCAGGTTGTATGGCCGTGGTCTTGGCATTGCAGGACCTGACCTTTCGCCAATAGCTGTGACTGGCATCCTCAGACGTATAACACAGAAAGATGGAGTACCCTCTTGTTGGGTGATAGTGAGATATTGAAAAAATGGTATTTAGCAGAGAGAAGATAGTCCAGCAGTCCCAGAATAAAATAATTCAGACTCAGAGTCCATGTGTGATTAAAATATAAAGTTTTTACTAAATTCTAGCATGGGAAGGGTAACTGGGATGAAAATAACAACAGAGCAAAATCTGCTACATCCTTACTCTACAAAGACAAAACTAGAAGAGAGAAATTATGGCTACTCTTACTTCTTCTTCAGAACACCAAACAAAGATGGGAAGAGAGCCATAAAATGCTAATACACCTTGACACTTTAGTCCCAATCAAATTCCTAGATCGGGGAGAAAATTTCCGGGTATTCTACAGCTAAAGAACATTGGTTACATGAAAAACATGTGACTTCCTGTGAGTAACATAAACAAACATTTAACCCCAGATATACTGAGTGTTTTCAACTTGTAATACCCAACACCTCTGTGTCAAGGTGAGAAGAAAAATGGTAGGCATCTACTACTGAGTATATCTACTCAGGAAGGTAGGGTAGGGCTGAGTCATTATCTTGTAGGAGTTCCCCAGGCTAATGGAGGAGCTTTCCTGAGGAGGCTCTTTTGTATATGTATGTGTATATCTATATGAGTACACATAGATGTATATGTATATTGATTGTATATGAAGGAAGCTTTCTGCGCGGGGTCTGTGTGTACATATATATGTATATAGATTGTATATGAAGGAAGTTTTCTGCATGGGGTCTGGAGCTCCAATCCTAGAGAAATCCTAGGCAGAGCTGCTTTTCTAGCTTAGTTATCCCTGTTCAGAACCGCCCTGCAAGTCAAATTCCTTTCCATCGACTCACCCGGACAGGTGATAGAACTTAAGTCTGATGTGCCCAATTGTTTCTCTTTCTCTCTCAACCAAACGTTCCTGCCCCGATCCTAAACTCGCCGGGCGCAGTAATCGCTCCCTCCCCACAAGCCCCACCAAAGAGAATGTCATCAGAAACAATTCCCAGGGGTTTCCAGAGGAGACGGGCACAGGATCGGGTGGGGCTGGCAAACCCTGTGCCCTAAGGCCTTTTACACGGGAGTAAAACCCCACTGGAACCCAGGGCTTTTCCGCATGGGTCTCTCACACACACCCCGTTCCTTCTGGCCCCGCGCGACTTCGGCTTCTGCCCGGACTAAACCCGATCCGGTTCTCCGGAAAGAGCTGGCCAGACGGTTATAGCCTGAAAGGCTGAGGGTTTGGCGGCCTGGGCTCTCCGCCTTCGGTCGGTTTGGGTCATCCTCTGCTTTCCAGGGGGAACAAATCCCCATTGGGATCAAGGGCAGTCCCTTCCAAAGTTGGGGAAGTTTTTAAAAATCGCTTCTAATGGGGGGGAGGAGGGAGGCTGGGAGGAAAACAAACTGGACGCTATTTCAGATATTTCTGTGCTTTCCAGAAAGGCGCCAAATCGGCGGGGGTGACCTTTTTAAAAACAACAAGTAAACGTTTAAAAAGCAAAACACGCGGGGGACGCATCCAAGACCCAGGCCGAGGGAGGCGCCTTCTCGTTCCAGCGATTTCCGCGAGAGGATCAACGCGCCCTCGATCCTTCCGTGATTGTGTTGAGCCGCGTAAAGTTCTCGCAGGGCGCACCGGATCGAGCCCGCGACATTCCGTGTTGACCAAGGCCAGCGAAGCTTGGGCCACCGGGGTTCGGGTGAGGCTCCGAACCTCTCCGGTTAATCCCGATGGCGGGTCAATAATTCCCCCGAAGGGTTTCCAGCGAGAGAGCCCGGGGGGAAGTGAAAGCCATTCCGCTTGCAAACGGATGGACTTCCGAATCCAGTGCGGGAGCGTTTCCTGCCTTCCGATCCTGGCTCATCACAGCCAGATCGAGACTGCAGTGTGTTCCCTCTAAACTGAGTTCGTGTGAGCCAGCTCACAGTCTTTTAGCCGCCGGCTCGCACCTTTTTGTCTTCGCTCGGGAAGGAGGGCTCCAGAGCAATGTTCCCTCTAAGCTATGGAGTCTTGTGAGCAAAATGTCTACTTTGTGAGCTCTTTGCATTAAAGCTGTGAGCAAGTGATTTGGCTACTGCATAAATTAGTTTGCTCCGGAGCCATCCCTTCCTGAGCTAAGACAAAAATGGGTGAGCCGGAGGCTAAAAAACTGCGAGCTAGCTCACACTAACTCAGCTTAGAGGGAACACTGCTCCAGAGCCAACTAATTGATGCAGTGGCCAAATCGCTCGCTCGCAACTTTAATGCCAGGAGCTCACCAAGTAGAATTTTTGCTCACGGGACTCCATAGCTTAGAGGGAACATTTTCGGAAAAGGTGACTTCCTTAGGCAATCAATCAATCAATCCCCGCGGCCTTGGATCCGTGGATCTTTTTTAAAAATACCGGACGCATGCAGACGAACGTTTCCATCGTGTCCTGATTTTTTTAAAAAAATCCTCCTTCCAAGGGAAGGAGGAATAGAGAGCGCTAACAGACACACGGGGACAGGAGCGCGCGTTGCCCCTTGCAACCCTTTTGGGGACAGAAGAGCAGGGAAGAGGAGACATCGATGCAAAACAGAACGCAACGAAAGCAGGTCTTTTCCTCCCCGCTCCAGCCGGCAGCTTCGTATCTGCGCCGTTTCTCTGTCCCTTCTACTCGGGAGCAAGCACCCCGGAGGCCCAGTCCTGAATCAGCCCGCGCGGAACTGCGCCTTGGCCCGGGGATACCAAACTCAGATTTCTGTTTCTAAGGGCTAGAATAGGTCGTTCTTCGGCAGAAAGTCCGGTCGATTTCAAGGACTTTGATTTCGAACATCCTACGCGCATCCTTCGTTGCGGCTACTTTAAAGCGGATCAACGCCCCCTTTTCTGTACGGGTTTGGATAGGTGTCAGGGGAAGAATTAGGAATCACGGTTGACCCCACCCCACCCCCTTTCCATGACACACAACCCACAGAATCCATTATCATTATTATTATTAGAATCATAGAATGTTAGAGTGGGAAGGGACATTGCAGGTCATCTAGTCCAACCCCCTGCACTCTGCAGGAGCATAGCGGAAAGATAGCCCTACAACATACCCGAAAGATGGTCGTCCACTCCAGCCTCCGCTTGAAAACGTCCAGCGAAGGAGCATCCACCACCTCCCGAGGCAGACTGTTCCACTGCTCAAACACTCTTACAGTTAGGAGGTTTCTCCTGATATTTAGCCGGTAACGACTCCCTTGTCATTTCCACCCATTAGATCTAGTCTTGCAATCCGGAGCAAGAGAGAATAGATCTGCTCCATCTTCTACATGACAGCCCTTCAAATACTTGAAGATTATTATTATTATTATTATTATTATTATTATTATTTTCTACTCCGCCCTCCCAGCCATAGACAAGACCTTCCCAAAAATTAAAAGTCTGATTTCCCTGGGAACGAGTCACACCCATCGGGCACCCCGAAGACTCTCTCTGTCCCCCGAATCGTGGCCCCGGCCGCAGGTGAAACACAGAGGGGGGGGGAGAGAAAGAGGGGGAAACGTTTTACGATTCTCCGAAGAGCCGGCCCGTATTTTCCTAATGGCTTCACGGCTGCTGCAGCTGCCGGCCACGGCCTCTTATTTAGACAGCTGCTCCGGAGCTCCGTTGATGTCAGTGTTAGCTTTAGGCGAGGGAGATGGGAGGGGGATCGGTGGCCCACACGAGCCTTTTGGGCCAGAACTGCGCAGACACAAATCTCCAAATATTTGGGGGAAGGGGGGGGGGATTGCTCAATACCGTGGAGAAGACAGGAGGAGTTATTTCTTTGCTTTGTGTTGGTTAGGTGTTGTTGTTTTTTTCGCTGGAGCCACGCTTTCCTTCTGGAAGGCGTGTGAACGCTCCTGATGAGGATTGGAGAGCGACGGAGGGAGCTCTCGGGGAGGCCGTCGTCGCCAGGGAAACTTTAAACTGGGGTGCTTTCCCCCCCCCCCCCCCAAATGTTTCACAGCTGCATCCAATGCTCCCTCTAAGCCATGGAGTCTTGTGAGCAAAAATTCTACTTCCTGAGCGACTGGCATTAAAGTGGTGAGCGAGCGAGCGATTTGGCTGCTGCATAGATTAGTCTGCTCTGGAGCCATCCCTTCCAGAGCTCAGACAAAAATGTGTGAGCCGGAGGCTAAATGACTGTGAGCTAGCTCACACTGACTCAGTTTAGAGGGAACACTGGCTGCATTGGTCAGAACCAGATTTCCCCAATGGCTGCTGGCCCACGACTCACTCACAAGCCCGGCCCACGTGTGGAAAGGGTGAAAGGAGGTTTTAAATACTAGCCTGCGTGCGGTCCTGCCACCCTACCCGAGGCATCGGTGCTCTAAATGTCTGCCCGCATCTCCATCGTTAAAAAGCGACAATTTCCTACCCGGATTGACTCCAGGGCAGCCGGAATATCTATACTCATTTATTCAGAAAGTCCCCGCCGTTGACTTCCAGCGCACTCGCCCGTAGGCCTACCGCTGCTCTGCTCGCGGAGCTCTGGGGATGGATCCGCGGCCCGTTTACTTAATTTAACCCGCAGGGGAACGCGACCCACATAAGAGAGCCCCTGCCGGCTGCAAAGCTACCAAGCTACCGTGGCTTCCCGGCCCCCCCTCCCCGGGGCCTTTCCCACCCTCCAAGCGGCCTGAGATTCCTTCTCTAGCAGGCCAGACTCCAAGGCAGTGTTCCCTCTAAGCTGGGTTAGTGTGAGATAGCTCACAGTTTTTCAGCCTCCGGCTGACACATTTTTGTCTTCGCTCGGGAAGGATGGCTCCAGAGCAAACTTAATTTATGCAGCAGCCAAACTGCTCGCTCAAAACTTTAATGCTAGTCACTGACAAAGTAGAATTTTTGCTCACAAGACTCCACAGTTTAGAGGGAGCGGGATGTTTTTTTCTGAAATCTGGTTGGGGGGTGGGGATCCGCGCCATCCCGCTGCGGGATCCAGGCTTCCACGACTAATCCGGATTCCCAAGGAACCCTCTT